CCCCAAAACCCCAAAACCCCATACCAACTATACATCTTCGCATCTTTAGAAAATTAATTTCAATATTTATTGATATTTATCATTAATTTTTAAATCTCAATAGAATCATTAACTTCTTTAATCTAATGTTTGCCCTCATTTGGCACTAACAAATTTTCTTTTTCATGAACATAATTTAATTCTCTTTCTTATCTTTCATAACATTCCTGAGTAATCTTATCCCAATCAAACCCCCAGCTCAAAAGATATTATTAGTATGAAACAACAGTTAACAATCCAATTATTAAAGCAAGCCACAATCCAGAAACTCCCATTTCTAAATAAATTGCAAGTAAATATTCTAGAGGACAAGCTAAAACAAAAATCGCAAAAAATCCCCCAATAGTTGCATGATTGAATTTAGTCAATGCCCTCATTGATCCTTATTAGACGCAATAAACAAAATCAATTGCAAATGATATGCAAGAAACTTAGGTTGAAAATGCTACAATTTCAATAACTTCAGCATTAGAGGTAAATATTCTAGCAATTTAGTATCTAAGAGAATATAAAATACTCGCCATCATAAGACCAAAAGCTATGCTTAGTTAGATTATATGCTTAGATTATGCCTAAGCTGTTTAACTTAGCCTTTCTCCTATAGATTTTCCAACTATAGCAGTACATGCAGTGCTTATTCCTATAGGAATCTAATAAAACATTTCATTTGTATTGAATATGATGAATAGAGCTGCATTTGCAGGCACTGAAATATAGCCAGAGATTATACAAAGTATTTCATAGCCAAAATATTCCATTGTATACATAATTGTTCCTGGAATCGCAAGTTTAGTATACTCACCCAAATTTTGAAAAGTTTCTTTACCTCCAAAGAACCAAGATTCCTTGTATTAAGGAGAACATTTTATATATATATGAAGAAATGTTGTGCTTATACATTTCTCAATACTTGACAAATAACTTATATAATAAAATGGTAGTCTTAGATGTACAATGGTGATTTAACACAGAATTATATGAAATACTGCCTGAATGCATAATATTAAAGTACAAATGAATGATTGGTCAAATGCAATTAAAAATTATCTTGCGATGTCAAAATACATAAATGCAACCCAATATGGGATTGATGCAGTAGTAAATATTTATGCATTTCTTGCAGTCTAAGAATCAATGCCAATACCTATGATGGCACTTTAGACATAGAATGAAAGAAATATTGCTATTGGCAGCCAAGCTGTTACAATTACTCTAGCTCTATTAACATAAATGCCAGCTTATCTAAGGTTACCTGCTCCAATCGATTAAGAAAGAAGTGAGAAAAGCACTGCATTTAATCCAAAGCAAACCGTGAAGAAAATGATGTTAGTAAAAGTAGAACTGAAGCCCACCCCTGCTAATACTGCTGGATCTGAATCATAACCACAAAAATATAGATCCAAAATATATTAAGAGCATAAAATTAATGACTGGATTATAACAGGTACACTCTGTAAGAAGATGGATTTAGTAAGTTTGATCCTTGAGAGAGTTTACTTGAGAGAGTTTTCACTAGTAAGAATGTTATGCTCGCTTTTCAGAATTTTTGATGTCATTAGCACAATTTTAAAATTATGAAATTTGATAACTTATCTAGAATTTAATTTGAAATTTATTAAGATTTGTGAGTAACTCTAATTTAATTATTTCTAATTTCATTTAATTATTTCTAATTTCATTTAATAATTCTATTTTAGCTGATAGGGGTTTTGGGGTTTTGGGG